GAGTGAACTCCTTATGGGTTATTGGGTTTCCAAGGGTAAACCATTACTGCTTCCTGATACCATCAAGGAGCATACCATGCCATTGATTCTCTTATAGTAAAGAGGACTAACTATATCAGAAGGCCAAATATAGAACATTTGGTTACCATGAACGTAGTGCCTAATGAAGAGAAAGAAAGGTTGAGGAAGCAAGGAAGAGGAGAGAGAGTGGATTCGAGAAAACTGATGGAGGAAAGAAATTAGCACCATAATTTAGAAATGGTCTTGAATCTGGAAATGGACTTCAAGATCAAAGCCGCAAGGATCTCTATCATCACATCGCTTGGGAGGATGCAAGAGAGAAATTTCATCTCTCCTTCTCTTTGTCTCTAGTAACTATTTGCAAGAATGCAAAGAATTCAACAATTTAAGAGATAGAGAGAAGGAACTGGAAATTGGAAAATCAAGGTTTTAGGTAAAAAGAAAATCAAAATTGTGAGCTAAGAACTTACTGGATTTGGATTTCGTTGCCTCTAATCTACATAAAAAAGATGCCATATGAAAGCAGTGGAGATGTTCCTACTTCTCTGTCTTTCTAGATGACCAGTTGGAAAAAAATTGCCAAAATATGAAAGAGACCTTAGAGAGAGAAAGGGCACATCTTATGGTAGAAAGAGAGAGATGTAAATGATTTAATACGAGAGAGACAGCGAGGAGAGAGAGATGGAAGTGGTAGGTTTATCAGGTTGAGAGGGAAAAATGGGAGCTTGATAGGGATAAGAGAATATACGCAGGAGAGAGGGAAAATGGTTTTTTAGACACGACTCAGTAGATTACCACGTGTAAAAGATTTCCCAGCCCTCCCGCGTGTAATAGATTTCACGATATTTAAGATAATATTATGTAATCTATTTTCATTTCCTTACTAATAAATGTACCCAAACAGTGTAAATGTCGTATTTTTTAGTAATCTATTTTCATGTAATATATTTTTAGGTACCCAAATGGCCCCTTAGTGAGTCCATCCATCAACATAAAAAGAAAAGGGAGCCCACGAAGATCTAAATTTAAGGGTGAAAGAGGATTTTAAATTAATTTCACTTTAACTTCATTAATAACTAATTGATTTCATTTCTTTCAGTCATTCTTTCCTTTTGTCATGATTAATAAAAAAACGGATTCTTCCATTCTATAAACTAAAAATTCCAATAGCTTTTACTGCTATGACCTTCCCAACCACGATTTGTTATCCAGTCATTTCAACTTTTATAGTAAATAAGGATAAATTAACTAAAATAATATTAGTCAAGAGATGCATGCATCAAGTAAAAAGTATTTGGCGAGTTAGGAGATACATGCATCAGCATAAAACAAAAGTAAGCCTACGAAGATCTAAATTTAAAGGTGAATAAAAGATTATTATTAAATTCTAAAATTTATTTTTTCATATTCATGATCACCATTGTTTAGATTTTGGGTCCCAAAAAATTTAGATCCAAAATACATATTTAAGATGGATATTAAAGGGGATTGCAAATGCAAATATGAGTAAGCAAACTCATGAAACCCTCCCTTTTTTATTTTAGAGCAGTATACAAGGAGACTATTTACTATTGGAACAAGGTGGTCACAAAATTTTTTGACCATCGGATGTGAAATGGATGGCTTCATTTATTCGATTGACCAAACTAAAACTTCAAAATAATTTTTTTCGAACTTTATGACACACTCAAGCTATCATATTTCACATCGAATGGTTATAAATAATTGTGATCTCCCTTCTTGTATCAAAGGTAAATAATCTTATTGTGTACAACCCTTTTTATTTTACTGATCCTTTTCCCTTTGAGGTTCCTAGTTGGGTTAAGAAGGTTACAAGCCTGTATTTTTTAGTTCATAAAATACACTTAAATAATTTTTCGAGGAGTGAATGGATGATATGTTTTTGCCGGAGTATGAACCCCTTTGGTATTGTTTTTTCACTGGTATCCTAATATAAATGGGTTTGTGTAGTATGGTTCATGCACCTTGGCATTCAGTTTGCTAAATGTCTGTTCATGATCAACACTGCCCAATCAATGAGTTGGATGGTGATGATGGATACTAGGACATAAAAGCTAACCAAGAGCATCTTTGGGGGATACACTCTCACTCAACCAAATATATTAGATATTAGTGCCCAATCGGTCCCATTATATGTTCTTTCCCTAACAATCATCCTAAAAGACACAAGAATATGTTAGGTAAAGAACACGACCATAGCTATACTCGACACTAATGAAAATGGGAGCATATTAGGTATTACCCATAAAAGAAATATTAATCCAAGATAATAAAAAATAATAATAATTTGTTTTCTAATGAAAAAAGACAGAATTAACCATATACTCATCGTTGATAATTTTCTTCTAGATAAGGTTTATATAAGGTGCCCATCCTTATACCCTATAATTAAGGCATGCTTTTAAATTTTTTCGAGACATTTGAAACCATACAATAGCTTGAGAATGTATTTTTTCCGTAGTAATGAAATTTCATTTACCAAAAATCATACGGATCGAGTAGATATGTAAACACTTAAAAATCTTGAAGATAAATAGTCCAATAATTTGTTACACAATGCACTGTTTTTAAGATTTGAAATTCTTTTTTTTCTTAATATCTTTAAATCTTGAAGTCAAGATGATTGAACTGGGAGTTTCCGAACTTTGGAAGACTCCCTCGTGGATAATTTTTATAGTACACGTGACTTCAATGATACAAGGTAGAAACCTTATATGAACTTTTTTTCAGGGCCCAACGACTATTAGTGATGCCATGTGTCACAATCATGGTCGTCCATGTGTCCCCTGATCGTTGTGGCTTCTAGTGCATCTAAGACTTTAGGATGACCCAATCCTTTGTTGCATGAATAAAAGATATGTTTTAATAATTATGGGGTGAAAAAAAAGGTAATTAGGGGAAAATAAAATAAAAAATATATTCCAACGAATTCTAAGCTTTATTTATAAAGGGGACCTTTGGAAAGTAAAGTATTTGGGAATTGATTAGAGGTGACGCACGTGTGGGCTCTCCAATAATGTTAGTGGTTAAGAATGCTTTTAGCATAATTATTAGAAATAGAAATATGAAAAGGGTTAGGTTTCACATACACACGGAACTGTCAGATGTAAAATCGGATGGTTGGGTGTTTTTCTCGTAATAGACACATCAAGCCAATTAGATGCCGGTACGCATCATTTCTCCACATGAGGAAAATTTTATAGCGTTTTGAAAACGATCAATGGTACTTTTTTAGCCATTTGATTTCACATCTAACGTTTGGGTGTAATAAAAGAGGGAATTTTCATTGAGCTCTCGATAGATGTATGATTTAACATTTGACAGCTATAAATGATTCTCTAAACCAAGGATGAATAAAAGAAAGGACAAATGTATCAATTAAAATGATGTTAAGAAGCTCAGTTGGAATGTTTTGAATATTTGTCCTATCAAAAGATATAATAATTTCAATAAACAATTAAAAAAAATCGAAATGGTCAAATTTGGAATGAGAATCAGTCATAATTTGCAAAATCTATAAAAAGAAAGAATGCTTGCTGCATTTCTTTCTAAAGAATATCAGTAAATAGTACTCTTTTACTTAACTTCCCAAAAACCTTTATTTGACTACTGTATTTACAAAACCATTTAGAGAGAGAGAGAGGAGGGGAGGAGAGAGAGAGAGAGAGAA